CGGTACAATGTCTCCCGTATAAGTTCATCTTGGAACACACGAAAAGATTCACGGGTAAAAATCGCAGCGGCATGGCTTTCAAGGTCGACCAGTTTTGTGATATGGAAGGGCTTCGTATGGGAACTTAAGTAATCCGCTTTCAACTCGTTCATACGCATTCTACTAATTCCATCTTCAATTTCACGAACAACATCTAAATATGTCTTATTGTGTTTCAGTGCAATAGCTAGTGAAGCATTCATAGACTCGCACCTTTGTGTTGAGTGAATATTGGCAAAGAAATGACCGGTTAGATATGCTTGTGCCCATAAGTGTCGTTTATTTCCCTTCTCAATCACCCATGGATGCTTTTGGACGTTGAATTCTGAAACAACCGAACGCCATTGAATATCAAATTCCTTGGTTGTCCACCAGGAAGCCATGCATTTTGAGAATGCTGCTGTAAACTTTGGGTCACCAATGTTAGCTTGTGCATTGCGAGAAAGATGCCAAGAACATAATCTGTGCTTAGCATAAGGGATAACAGATTTGATAGCCCTCTGCATTGCCCTATCCCCATCGGTTACAACGGAAATAGGTGATTTATTCATCATGGCTTCTAAAAAATTCTGTAGCACCCACTCGAAAGATTGAGACGTCTCGTCAGCGATTATGGCAGTGGCAAACACAATTGTGTTATGGTGATGATTGACACCAACAATAGGCATAATTGGTCGACCATACAAATTATCTTTGCACGTTGTGTCGAACGTAATTACATCACCGAAGCATGTGTAATTCGATCTCGATGTAGAATCCGACCAAATAAGATTATACAATGCCCCCGATTCGTCTACCGAGTATGTCATAAAAAAACCCGGGATCATCATGTTTCTTATAATCAAAGTAGGCAATAAGCGCATTCACATCCCCATCGACGATTTCCTTTGCTTTACCTCTTTGAAGTGCATTGTAGAGGTCTTTATGTGTAAATCCAACATTATGATAGCCCCCTGCCTGCTGCGTTAAATAGTTCATTACTTGTGACGTGCCAACACCGACCTCTTTCAATGTTGTTGCCTCATCGATATCAGCCTTACTTACAGCTCTATTAGAATGCATAAATGGTGTCATAGCAGGTGTGCACAATGCATGATTATGTTTCTGATCAGACTTACTTATAACCCACTGATCGTTTGTATTTGTTGCTGTAACTACGACTCTAGCCTTACATCCTGTTCTTGTGACTGGCGTATGAGCACGTTGACGATCAACAGTATTGACTTTTGATACTCGAAACCCTTCTTTGGAACAACAAAATTCTTGTGTCTTCACATTCCCTTCCACGTCAAGCCGTGTTGTTCCCTTACGTGCACTAAACCCATGTTCCCGTGCGAATCCCTTGTAAAAGTACCAAGCTTGATCACGTGAACAGAAGAGCTGACCAACCAATCTGTCAGATTCATCAACATTATGTACTTCATGGCATTCCTCGGTTGGCTTAACATTGTCTACATCAATATTATCCATGGCAAAAATTTTGTTGTGCAAGTTCAGTGGTCCAGGAGTTGATGGAGATGTAAGAAAAGGTTCATTTTGAACATGTTTCAGTCGTGCTGCTTTCAATAGGATGTGACATTGGTAGTGGTAGTTAAAGGGTGGGTACAACATTAAATTCGCAATACATATTTAGGTATGTACAATAACTACAAGTATATATTATCATTAAATTTAGGTATGCACAATAACTACATATTTAGGTATGTACAATAACTACATATTTAGGTATATACATCTTTTGAGTGAGTTTTAAGATATTAATTTAGTAATTATAGGCGTCTAATTATTTATTTTTTAAGTTACGATATATATTATTATTAAATTAAAAACAATAAACATATATATTACATATTTATTATTATCTTTGGTTAATATTGTTAAATTTAAATTCTAAATATTATTTTATAAAATATCAAAACAATCAAATAATTTTTTGTGTAAATGAAATTATTAAATTAATATTGTAGGTGGAAAACATGAAACACTATTAAAAAAAATTGAAACATAAATTACATAACTTTAAAAAAAGTATCGATCATTTTTATAAAAAGTATGGACACTTTCAATATAATAGGTAAAAATATGATGTAATAGGTAGCGCTTATATAATGTAATAAGTATCGTTTATATAATGTAATAGGTAGTTGTAAAGTATATATCCTTTTTATAAAAGTGTCCATACTTTTTTCACTGTGGAAAACATTAATTTAAGGTTATCTTTTGAGTGAGTTTTAAGATATTAATTTAGTAATTATAGGCGTCTAATGATTTATTTTTACGTTACGATATATATTATTATTAAATTAAAAACAATAAACATATATATTACATATTTATTATTATCTTTGGTTAATATTGTTAAATTTAAATTCTAAATATTATTTTATAAAATATCAAAACAATCAAATAATTTTTTGTGCAAATGAAATTATTAAATTAATATTGTAGGTGGAAAACATGAAACACTATTAAAAAAATTAAAACATAAATTATATAACTTTAAAAAAAGTATCGATCCTTTTTATAAAAAGTATGGACACTTTCAATATAATAGGTAAAAATATGATGTAATAGGTAGCGCTTATATAATGTAATAGATATCGTTTATATAATGTAATAGGTAGTTGTAAAGTATCTATCCTTTTTATAAAAATGTCCATACTTTTTTCACTGTGGAAAACATTAATTTAAGGTTATCTTTTGAGTGAGTTTTAAGATATTAATTTAGTAATTATAGGCATTTAATGATTTATTTTTTACGTTACGATATATATTATTATTAAATTAAAAACAATAAACATATATATTACATATTTATTATTATCTTTGGTTAATATTGTTAAATTTAAATTCTAAATATTATTTTATAAAATATCAAAACAATCAAATAATTTTTTGTGCAAATGAAATTATTAAATTAATATTGTAGGTGGAAAACATGAAACACTATTAAAAAAATTGAAACATAAATTACATAACTTTAAAAAAAGTATCGATCCTTTTTATAAAAAGTATGGACACTTTCAACATATTATAATGTAATAGGTAAATTTGTAATGCTATCGGTATAAATATACCGATTTACTTATAAAATAAGTAAATATAAGCCTACCTATTACATTATATAAGCGCTACCTAGTATGTTATTGTACTTTATAATATTTTCAGTTAAATAATATAACATAACCGGTCTAAATTTTAACCGGTCACTTATTTAACCGGTCACACCGTATATTAACCGTTTTTTAGGAGCCGCACCGCAGAACTACCCTTATCCATCAATTTAGGGCAATCGCAAGAAAAATGCAATTCCGTAATATATAAAGATCTGTAGGGACAATCCAGTAATTCAACAAATAAATAATATTATATTACTCCTGGACCACATCCCTTCCCCACCACAACCAAGCATCGTTCTTTGTTTCAACTTTCAATTTTTTCCAAAGGAAAAAAAAAACACTATAATATATTTTTTAAAATATTTTAATCACTAATATATTTTTCCTTGGTTTCTTCTCCATTCCTTCTTCTGCGGAATTATCTCTCATAGAGCTTCTACAGTAATCTAAATCTCTTCCTCTCTGAGTTTATTTACTTTCATTGTTTTAAACAACGTCCAATATACATTGGCAATCTGTTTCTTTTTCTTTCTTCCTTAGATATTTCTCCCCTTGTGTCTCGAAGGTGAGTTTAATCAATTTATTTCTCCTAATCCGTCTTCTTCTATTATGCTTTGCATTCATAAAAGGAATTTGTGAGTTTTTTAAAGGAAATTGTGATTTTTTTAAAGTAAATTGTGATTTTTTTTAATTTTATAATCGTCGTTCCGAAAAACAGGGCTCAATATATATATATTGAGCATGTTTTTCTTTCACGTTGGAATGCAGTTGGAGTTTTCGTTTTACTTCCTGTTTGTTTTACGATAAAAAAGAGAGGGAAAAAGTTTCCGAGAGCTCTCGATTCTTTTCATTGATTTTTGCTTTTTTTTTTAAATAATTAAAGTTGTAGAAAAGAGTAGACTAATTTAAAGTTGACCATGGCCTTTGCGATTGAATTGAACATAACTGAGTTCCACAGTTCGTTGGATAATAAATTCATAGTTTCAGATTTATACATTTCATTTTTTTATAACGAACTACGTGTTTTTTTCTCGGTGAAATATTAGAACGTGCATGTTTTTCCCCCTCTTTTTTTTTTTTATAACGAACTACGTGCTTTTTTCTCGGTGAAAAATTAGAACGTACATGTTTTTTCCCCTCTTTTCTTTTGCTAAACATGATGGCTATTTGATTTTATTCGCTGTCAGAGCCCTCGTAATTCTTTTTTCAATTTTCGATTCCAGATATTTTCTTTTATTGAGGGAAATGTTCTGCCTCCTACTCTTTTGATGATTTATTTTTATTTTCAATTCAAATTGTTTGGTTTATCATCTTCAGCTTTAGAAAATCGATGACTTCCAGCAAGCCCACTTTTTTTTTTTAAAAGTTGTTTTTTGTGTGTGTTGTTTGTGTTAGTTTTTATTTTTATTTTTATGGATAAGATGTGGATAATGAATTGTCTCAGTGGCTTTACATGTAGGAAATCTGATTGAATTTGCTGAAGTATTTTTTGCAAAACTCCCATTGATTGAAACCCAGAGATTTCATTTGTGACAGAACACTTAGTTTGATTAATTACTAAAAGCGGGTTAGGAGGGAAAGAATGATACTGCTTTTTTGTTTCTGACCTCCCTGAAATTTGATACATGGCCCTCGGTTAACGTTTGTTTCTATTTCTAGACCACCGTGCTACAATCTTCTTGGACAGAATTTTGTTTTGTATTTTTGTTTTACAAGCCCTACAGGACTAAGCCAAATATTGATGTCTGTCTAATATGCTGGTCTGTTTCTTTCTTTAGATCATAATTTATGTCAACCAATTTAGTCTTGCAAAGTTATGCTGATTTTAGTGATTGTTTACAGCCCAAACCTGGTTTTGATATATGGTGCATCAGTTAAGCTGAGTGTAAAGAAAATGGATCAACAAATGAAGTTTTACACTTGTTCTGGAGTTCCTTTTGAGGTCACGTAGATTCATTGAGTTTAGATGATAAGTGCCAGCCGCAGCTTGTAGAAGCTGCAGTTGAGGATGTTGATAAATTTCTGGCTGATATTCTATCCTTCTTACAATGAAAAGTCTTTTCCTGGCAGTATCTTACATTTCATGCTACAGTTTAGCAGTAAACCATATATGCAAGCTAGTGATCCAGCCTTTGACAATACTGTAAATACCTCTATTTGGAGGTTTCTAGAACTACATTGACAAATCATTGATTGTCATCTGCTACAAGAGCAAGAATGGAAAGGTTTGTTTCTTGCCACTTCATTTGATATCAGTAAAATTTGTCAAGTTTTCATTTGAAGCTTGTATCTCTTTGGTACTATAGCTTGCTACCTTCTTTTTTCTTACTTAGGTATAGAATTTCCGAGGAGCTTGGAGATGGTACCTGTGGTAGTGTGTTCAAAGCCTTCAATATAGAAACATTTGAGATTGTAAGTAACTTGCTCCTGTAATTGCTTTTTTACCTTTCAGTTTACATAACTACACAAATTCTTTTTGTTTATTTTTTTTTATATCTGCTCATTGTTCCTCACTTGCGGTTGATGTTAATTGAATGATAAATGTTATACATACACTTTGCTGCACTTAAAATCACGTTGGGAAGTCGATGTAAGTTGCTGCTAGTTGTGATTGTCACAAGCAGGATATTTGTACATTGGTCTTATGTTATGTGATGATTGAAATGACTTCAATGTCTTGGAGATGGCAAATGATGAATATGGGATCAATTTTGAAGCCACTTCGTGAGCTTGACTCAATCCTTTACCTACTAGCTGCTAATTTTGGGGTGTCCGAACCACAGTTTAGGGTGTCTGTCGATGGTGTCTCTCTCTTTATGCACCTATACCACCACCCCCATCACTACCCCCTTCCTTGTACCAGGAGGGTTAACAAGCATTTTGAGGTGTTTATTACTAAAAAAATTTCAAAGTTCTAAATCCTAATGAACATGAAATGTCTGAGGTGAAACTCTGTGCAACTTTGAATTTACAGAACTAGAGAACTGGGTAGTTGTATATATGCATGACATGAGATATTAAAGCCTATATAGATATTAGCAGCCCTTCCAAGTATAAATTTGGAGCATGTATATATTATGTTTGTGCGTATACATATATATGCAAACAAGAATAGAATGACTTGGGAGTTGAAAGGTTCGCTTTGGAAAATGATACTGGTGTCTCTCCTCAATGAGGATGTGACAATGGTGATAAGGAAGAACTTGGACTAGAAAACTTACCTCGGTCTATTACAGGTAGCAGCATGAAATCCCCCCCCCCCAATTTATACTCTTTCTTTAGTTAAACAAGAAAATAGTGAATTTATTAACGTGTAATTTCCTTGAGTTGTTGCTCCTCATGCTTTTTGTAAATGTTCTCAATCTAGGTTGCTGTGAAGAAAATGAAACGAAAGTTCTACTTTTGGGAAGAGTGCATGAATCTAAGAGAAGTTAAGGTAAGCTGTAATATTTCCTTGAATGTTAAGAGCCCTTTGCTTTTACATAACCCTTAATCATAAGAGCTTGTTCCATTTATTATCTGCAGGCCCTTCGTAAACTAAATCACCCTAATATTGTAAATCTAAAGGAGGTTGTCAGAGAAAACAATGAACTATTCTTCATTTTTGAGTACATGGTAAGGGTGCTTTTCCAACTTCTCATTATTCTACAAAAGCATGGTGCTTTTCCAACTTCTCATAATTTAAGTTGTTTTATTTTCATTATTTTTGGTCAACACAAAGCTTGGGAATATGGCTATGATTAGGCTGGAGCTAGGAACATGGATTGTAATTGCCATTGCCTTGGTTAATACCAGTTTGTAATCATTTTCTATGCCAGTGCTTGGGTACCACGAATGTGCTCAATTAATTACAATGTTTGAACTTGTAAAATTTCAAAGAGGGGTCTATATTAACCAAATATATGAATGGTTCATTTTTGAAGAATTCTATAATTAATTTTAGTGAAAGAGTTGTGCTGATGCTGGCTGCCTACTCCCCCGTATACCAAAGACAGCAAATGTTCTTCAATAGTGTATCTCTTTCAACAGAATCTCATAGTTTCTTTTAGTAATAAAGGCTTCAAGTGATTGTTTTCTTTAAATATAACGATACAACGTTGTGTACTTCTGTAGGATTCATTGTGTGATAAATTATTTATTGTAACCAAGCATTAAGTTGAATGAAACCCTTTCAGTTCGATTGTAAGAGGTTGAACATTTCTTTCTAGGAACATAATCTTTACCAAATCATGAGGGAGCGACAAAGCCCTTTTTCTGAATGGGAAATACGTAGCTTCATGTCTCAGATGCTGCAAAGACTTGCTCACATGCATAGAAATGGATATTTTCATCGAGATCTGAAACCTGGTAAATCTTCCTTTCATCTATTTGCATGTCGTTATTGTGTATTTACATATGGTGAACTATCTCCTTTTTCAGAAAACTTGCTGGTGACAAAGGATGTTCTGAAAATTGCTGATTTTGGACTGGCAAGAGAAGTATCATCAATGCCTCCTTATACAGAATATGTTTCTACTCGATGGTGAGTAATTGTGTGATGGATACCATCTCATTTACTCAGCAATCGTGTTTCTTTACATTAACTCAATGTTGGTGCCGTCTCGCTGATTACTTCGTAATTATATCCTGTTCATACAGTATCATTCCCCTTTTAATGATTCATGGGATAATTTTGTCAGGTACCGTGCTCCAGAAGTTTTGTTGCAGTCTTCAACCTACACTCCTGCTATTGGTATGTGGATATTACTTGATCTAATTATCTTTGTGTGTGTATGTACATATCTGCATCTTCTTCTAGTAGCTTTATGGTACTCTTGTACGAATCCAAAACTTAATTTGCATCTGATAATGTATTCTCCATCAATTTGATTTAGACATTCTTTCTTTCAGTTAAATGTTACTTTGAGGTTTATCTATATCAAATCTTTTTTTTGGCTTGAATGCTGCCTGATAATAATAACATTTACAGATACTTGGGCTGTTGGTGCTATATTAGCAGAGCTTTTTACTTCATCTCCTATTTTTCCCGGGGAAAGGTTATTTATTATCCCGAGTTTTTCTTTTAATTTTGGTGGACGTTAAGGCAATTCTTTTGTTTTACAAATATTTTTTTTTCAGAATATAAATGCATACAACAATGAAAATTCTTTGGTGTAGAACTTGTATTCCGTGACCATGTAGTTCCAACATGTATTATACGCATGATGATAGAGCGACGACGAAGGGACACTACCACATGGGTTTTGGTCGAAACTGGACAAGAAACTCATTGGTGAAGGCGATGAGGTGCAATGATGACTGAATCGATTGAAAATCGCAAAAATCAACAACGACGTCGTTATGGGTTTTTAACGAACTTCAATCAGTCATTGACGGCGAACAGTGACACTTCATAGAGCGGGGTCGATAAGGTTTTACCGGAGCACGAAGACGCGTCCGATGCCATAGGCGGTGACACTCACCGAAAAACAGTTACCGAGATCAACGGTGAAGGGTGTCGAGCGACTTTTTCACAATTTGTGATGTTTTGACGATCAATTTTGGATAGCTAGTAGTTGGGTTTTACTTGGGAGGTGATACCGGGATTGTTGGTTGCTGTTTTGCAAGCTACTGTTGGCCAAAGACAATGGACCGAAAGAGAGATGGGTTTTTGGAAATGAAAGGGAAAGAGAGTTAACGCCGTTTGTGGGGAAAACGACTGAGTGACCAAATTTGTCAATTATATCAAATTCAGTGATGAAATTGACCAGTTTTAAAGTACAGTGAGTGAAATAGGAAATAAAGTGAATCAAAGTGATGATTCGTGTAATTTAACCCAATTATTAAATTTGGTTCATTTTAATATTTATTTTTTAACATCATACCTCAAGTTTAGTTTTTATTTCATTTTATTACATTTGTTCAAAATTTAACATTAAATTTTGAAAAAATTGAATATTTATGTACCAAAACATACCAAAATTGATAATTTAAGTACTAAGTGTGTTACGTTTTTAACGATGAGTACTAAAATGAAACAAAAACTAAACATTAAGTAATGTTTTGGAAATTTTTTTGAATATAAAAAATCAAAAGTGATAATTTAGGTACTAAATACGTAGTTTACCCTATTTTTTTATTTTGATTTAAAAATAAACATTATTTACTGGACTTATGAGACAGAGAAAAGGTGATATCGCATGTAAGAGTTTAGGCTTAGTCTAACTCAAATTAAATCGGTTCATTTATCCATTATGCGCAAATGTAAGAAGCTTGATTTCACTTTGATTTTCAGGTTAAGGATGCATAAGCTCTCCAACTTTTGAAAAATTAATTAAATTCTTAAATTTTTATATTTTAAAATTTTATCAATTCACTCATTTGATCAACATTAACAACTAAATTTAATATTTTTTAATCAATCGATATCACCTGTCATATATATTATAACGCTGTCAAGTGATTTTTTTAGAAATTTATTAAATTTTAACATATTTTGAAAATTATTTTGGAGTTTTAATATTTTTCGTGTGATAGATTTATCTCATAAAAAAATGTCAAGATTTAATAGCTAAAATTAGTTAAAGAGTAAATGCGTGTACCATATCAAGTAAAAGGCTAATGGTGATTGTTGATAATGCTCACTTGAATATTAGAAAAATGCTTAAATTAGATATTTCTACTAGCGTTGAAAAATGCTCAAATTAGGTTTTTCCACTAGCATTGGAAATATGCTCAAATTAGGTTTTTTCACTAGTATTGGAAATCATGATTTTGCTAGTGAGCAATTTCATTCATTTTGATATAATCCCAAGCAAACATTTGCTTTGAAACACTCTTCTCTTTTGAGTGTTCTTTGAGTTGAGAGATGAGCAATACCACCAAGTTCACTCCAGTTTTCGGGTGTACGAATTCTTGGAGAGTCGTGTTAACCTCGAGGGAACGGTCCGCCTACTGCAGCGATTACACACATCGGGGCGAATTCGTTTTTAAGGCAGTGATTTTATCACGACACGATTTATTAATCTGTTTCTTTAAAATTATAATTTATCTTTCCTGTCAGTGCTAACGGTGTTATTTTGCAGTCTATTTTTCAACAATTTAGAAACGAATTCTATATACTGCAATCATGACAACACTTTTGAGCAAACTGATTCCCGATCTTTCCAAGATGCACTTGATGAAAAGAATTATAGAATGTGCTCCCAACGAATTCTGATATTCTTTGAGCAGCTTGATCTTGACTACGTGCTGCTCAAGCCACCACCTACCATGCCGCCAACCCCAACTACCGATAATGATACGGATACAATCCTGAATAATTATGCCTTAGCAAATGCCTCTCTCGCTACCTACGAGAAACACGAGAAAGATAATAAAATGGTGCAAGGACATCTGCTCAGTCACATGTCAAATAAATTATTTGATATGTTTCTTAGAGAAAGGAGTGCCAATGCGATTTGGGAAACTCTGGAGAAAAAGTATGGTGCAGATGATGCGGGCATAAAAAAGTACGTTGTCGGTGAATGACTTAAATTCCATATGACAGACGAAAAGTCGATAATGGATCAAGATCATGACTATGAGAACTTGGTCGCTGACATCATTGCCGAAGGGATGCAAATGTGTGACGTGCTGCAGGCCAATGTTCTCATTGAGAAGTTGCCCAAGTCCTGGTCCGACTACCGCAATTCTCTTAAGCATAAGAAGAGAGAAATTTCACTTGAAGAGCTGGTAGGCCATATGAAGATTGAAGAAGCCAATCGTTTAAAAGATAAGGTTACTAATTCCCTGAGTAATTTATCTTTAAAAGCTAACTTGGTTGAGTCCAGATTCAAGAAGATCGTGAAACGAGGGAATCAATACAATAAGACAAAACCTCAGAAGGCTACCAACTTCAAGTTAGGAAAGGCCAAACCTGAAGGAAAGACATTCAAGTGCTATGTATGTGGTTTAGCCGGCCAAAAAGCTTACCAATGCCAACATCGCTCAGACCGCCAGAATGAGAACAAACCGCAGATGCACGTTGTAGAAAAAGATGATGAAATCATTGTCGCGGTGGTCTCAGAAATTAATATGGTGGAAAATAGTTCGGAATGGGTAGTTGACACTGGTGCTTCGAAGCACTTTTGCGCAAGGAAGGAGTTATTCACCGAATTCGAGAATGGGAACATAGGTGAACGTGTGTACATGAGGAACTCTAACAGCTCTGAAGTGCTAGGAAAAGACAAGGTTTTACTCAAGCTGACTTCTGGTAAAACTGGCCTTAAATAATGTTCTGTATGTACCTGCTTTGCGTAGAAATTTGATAAGTGGTGGGCTTTTGAATAAGACAATCATTAAGTTAGTTTTTGAGATAGATAAACTCGTACTTTCCCGAAATGGTGATTATGTTGGGAAAGGTTTTTTAAACAATGGTTTATTTGTCATATAAACTTAATTTAATGAAAATAAAGCTACCACTTCTGCTTATATTGTTTGAATCCATTGATATGTGGCATGCTAGATTAGAACACTTGGATATTCATGCTTTAAAGAAATTGATGAATAAGAATGTTCTGCCTAAACTAGACACAACTAGCTTTAACAAATGTGAAATTTGTGTAGAAGCTAAGCATACTAGACCTTACTTTAAGATTATTTCTAATAGAAAGACTGAACTGTTAGAACTCATCCATACTGATCTAGCAGATTTTAGAAACACTGAAAGTAAAGGAGGAAAACACTACTACATAACTTTTGTAGACGATTATTCAAGATATACAAAAGTTTATCTCCTAAGAACTAAAGATGAAGTTGAAAACTTCTTTGTTATTTATAAGAAAGAAGTTGAAAATCAGTTAGATAGAAGAATCAAATGGGTTAGATCTGATAGAGGTGGTGAATACGGATCTAATTTCTTAAAAGATATTTGTGAAAAGAATGGCATAATTCATGAATCTTCAGCCCCCTATTTTCCTCAACAAAATGGTATAGCATAAAGGAAAAATAGAACTTTAAAAGAGATGATGAATTTTTTACTAATAAGTTTAGGTTTATCTGATAACATGTGGGGGGAAACCATTCTATTGGCAACTCATATCTTGAACCGAGTTCCTCATAAGAAATTAGATTCTACCCCATATGAATTGTGGAAAGGATACGCTCCTAATTTACAATAGCTGAAAGTGTGGGGGTGTCTGGCTAAAGTGGGTTTGCTAGACTTAAGAAGTCCACCATCGGACCTAAAACCATTGATTCAGTGTTTATAGGGTATGCTACGAATAGTGTTGCATACAGATTCATGCTTTTACAAGATTATTCTATTTGTGAGTCAAGAGATGTTGTTTTCTTTGAAAATACTTTTCCTTCAAAGGAATTGAGACAAATAGAATATATTCCATCTACTTCTTCTAGTAATCCTGCTAGGTCTTCTGAACAAATTGTTTTTGAGCCTAGAAGAAGTAAAAGGCAAAGAGTTGAAACCTCTTTTGGACCAGACTTTATCACTTCCTTTATTTATGAGATAAATGATTTAGAATCTATTTCAAATCATATAGCTCAAATTTTTCTATTAGATGAGAATCCTAAAACTTTTAAAGAAGCTATAAGATCTATCGATGCTAGTTTCTGAAAAAACGCTATTAATGATGAACTAGAATCGATAATGTCTAATCATACTTGGGAATTAGTTGACTTGCCTAAGTGATTCAAACCAATCTGTAACAAATGGGTCTTCCAGAAGAAACTGAGGCCAGATGGTTCGATTCAACGGTACAAGGCAAGGTTAGTCATCAAAGGGTCACTCAAAGGTTTGGTTTAGATTACTTTGATACATATTTTCCCATTACGAAAATCTCAATGATTCGTGCATTATTTGCACTAGCCTTTATTCATAAGTTGCAGGTACATTAAATGGATGTTAA